TAGTTAAACTTTGAAATTACAATCCTGAAAATGAGTACTCTAAACAAATACCATGTAGTTTTATACTAATATGGTACATCACTTTAAAGTACACTATGGTGCTAAGTTAGAGGAGACAGTATTTTATCAAATCGGATGTTAAAATATCAAAAAACAATTAAGAAGATACAAACCAAGGTAAAATACAAAACTCAGGAAATCGCATATTCTCCAAAAGGCACGAGACTCAGTTCATCGGCAAGGTAAGCGTATCATAATATGCGAATCCACACTCAGTCAAATTGCAACAATCAGGAATAGAACATAATCGGTAAATTTACAGATCAAACAACTATTCTGGTATCTAAAGATTGTATACAAAGACACTCAAAGAGAGCATTTGGACAATATTGGTTCGATTTTATATCTTAATTATAGATATAAAACATTCCTTAAATCTTTAACTACATGATTACAAAAATGGAGACGATATGATTTCTATACCCCATAAGAATAACGACACTTTTTGTTATTGAACTTAGTGAACCTATTAAATAAACTCATCATAGATACCAGGATAAAAATTGTGTAAGCCAGACGCGCGTTTCGTGTACAAAAGACCCATCAGTGACGCTCGAATCAAATAATTTAAAAAGGCCAAATAAAATACGAAGTTGAAGAGCATTGAGGGTCCAAAATTCCGAAAGGTTTTGCCAAATACATCTAAGGTAATCTATTCCTTGGGTAGACCATCCTTAGTATTTCGAAAAATTAAGTTTTGAATTATGACCAAATCAAACTGAATGATAAATAGAATAGCTGACTACTGGGCTGGTGCATATTAAAAACCTAAATATAAGATATGTACTCGATTGGAATCACATGTCTGAATTTGGTTTGTCCTCCCAATAAGAGTACGTTGGTGTTGTCTTGTAAATTCTGAATACCTTACACATAAATGCATTTGTATAAGTCCTCCAAAAGGATAAAGAAACCTTAAACAATAGACAAAAGACAATTTTTCAACTAAATAATTGAATGAAATACAGTATTATATGGGAAACAAGTTATTACTTGGATGAGAGAATGAAAAAGGAGAAACTAGAACATTCACACAGTTCATTGATTCTTTATTTCTATATTACCGACATTCAGCTTCTATGAATTACGTTATATCGTTTATATCTCGAAGGGAAATTAACATCCGTCTGTAAATTGTCCGGTTTCTATAATTGATTAACAGCTCCAACATTGGTCAAACATTTCTCATTGGAGATTTCTGTGCTGTCAATTGCTATTGAATTAAACGCATCAGAAGTTTTGAAATAATTAATGGCTACATTACTGGAACAAAATGTCAGTAAGAAAGAAACATGACTTTAAAGATATATTTTTACTAGTCATCTTGAACACAAAAGCATAAATTGATCTTAAACGAATGGAGAAGAGAAATAGACATTTAGCCCTACAAATATAAATTAGTAGAACTTTACACCAAAAATGCACTTTTCCATACAATTAATAATCAGGGGTCAATATTGGTCATTAATCTAGAAGTATGCGATGTCAAAGACACTGAATTAACTGCACTTTCTAGATGAAGAGTAGTTCTTGTACTCAATGACATGCATGAGATGCAGTTTTGTTCCTGTATTGTTATAAATCATATTTTATGGCAAATCTAAGGAAAGATCCGTCTTAATTCCATTTAGTAGAAAAACAAAAATAATACTTGCCGCTATCTTGATGATAATTTTGTTTATTAATAACAAAGAATTCTCTATATATACTGAGGAAATTCATCTAAGGGAACTGACTTTCCAAAAACCTTGTACGCAGGTATAATTAATCTTTTCTGGTTATATTCTGTTTAACACGAAATACTCTATACCAAAATTTACGACAAAAGATACGATTTTTAGTTCCCTACTTTACTTTCCCTTTTATGGTGTGTATATTTCCCAACTCGTTCAATCTGGTAGGTGAACCCCTTTAAAATTTATTACTACAATTCTATCTTATGTTGTGCTCTTGAACCACTGTTACAGGTTAGAGGATGGATTGAACATAGGTAACTATGCAACATACTTTATTCCAATGTACCAAGTCAGGAAACTGATATTTTTTTTGTAATTCAGTGGTTCTCGTTGGATGCCAACTACCATTTTTGATTTTCATTAATTGCTTTTATTTTTTGCATAAATTTATTATTTCTTTGAAATTGTTTCATATTTTGACAGGCCTATCATAGCTTACTATACGCTATAAATTTTGCACATTGTTGAAGGCCGTATCTTGAACTATAGTTGTTTAAACTCCTCTTTCTTTGGTCTCTCGGGGGTAGTTGACTCGTTTGTAATCTAACTACACAAATCTGTATATTTTTTTATATTGAAATATCTTTTGCATTTGTCGGACATAATGTAAACATGAAATATATTAAAAAAAGATTGTAGACTGTGCAATGTAATGTAATGTATTTTATGTTGAATTATACAATTACTAAAATTATTTACGATTTCGCATCAAAATGACGTGGTATCTTTAAACATTTCTTCAATTGATAGAACTAAATCGATTTTTTTTGTATCTGATAAAGGTACAATACAACAATTTGTATATACTTTTAAAAACAGAGACAGACGAACCCGGTAGATTCTATTTGGCACTAGACTTGTAGTTCTTCTACATTGTAATGTGTCGTCGTGACTGTTCTTCAAGTTAAGACAAGACAAGACATAGTTCGCTTTCGTTACCATTCCCACTTCCGGCGTATAGAGTAAATTAGGAATCTATAATCGTTTGGCTTTTTAAATTCTATACCATTGAGATCCTCCTCATTGGTCTCGTGAATGCGTGCTTGCGTGGTTTAATCCATCATTTTCTTCTGAAAATGCCTGTACTTAGTTCAGGAATATGACAGTTGTTTAACATTCGTTCGTTGATTGATATAGTCTAACGGTTGATTTTTTCAGGTTTTATGGCACAAGATTTGTAGTTCTTCACGAATTGGTTGATCTATACGATGTGTCTGTGTCTAAACTAACTAATGACATTTTACCACGTCTTAAATTGTGGTTTAACATCTATGTCGTCTGTCTTCTAAGCAACGAACGTGATCTATTACCGAATATGACTGTTTTGCCGAGTGTGAATTTGCATTGCTATACGACGTGTCTCGGTATTTATACATCCAACATTCATGTATTTATTCATGATGTTTCTGTTGTGGTTTCGGTTGTGTTATGTCTTATCGTTTGTGGTTTGAATTCTGTATTTTCGGTACATTTCACATATGTCTTATTTGTCAGTATAGTCGAGTTTATTTCCATTTTCCATGGATAAATATTGTGTTAGTCCAAATAGTTATGACGTCGTCACAGCTTTTATTTAAAACAGCCTTTCGATACCATCATAGTCTTGACAATTGTTTGGACTAGTATTGTGAAAATAAATGTATGAATTTCAAGATTATATATTCGTTACAAAAATACGTCACTGTTTGTGATGTCTTGTGCTGTCGTTAATGGAAGATGTTCGTTGTTATTCTGCGGTTTACATGTTGTAACGACTACTATATTATTTATTTGTGCGTTTCTCTGTGCTGAGGGTTCTTGCGTTTGTTTGTGCTGTATTTCTGTCACGTAGTGTTGTCATTTTAGCGATATTTTTTAACATTGTCATATAAGCGGGAGGTTTGGCTAGCCATAAAACCAGGTTCAACCCACCATTTTTTCTTAAAATATCCTGTGCCAAGTCAGGAATATGGCAGTTATTATCAAATAGTTCGTTTCTATGATGGCGTTTGTTTTTGTTACACTTCGGTGTTTCTGTTGTTCTGTTGTTTTCCTCATATAGTTGATGTGTTTCCCTCGGTTTTAGTTTGTAACCCGGATTTGTTTTCTCTCAATCGATTTATGACTTTTGAACAGCGGTATACTACTGTTGCCTTTATTTATGGACTTCTACCTCTTTGAATTTACCTTGGATTTTGGTAATTTTGTTAAAAAAATTTGATCGATCCAAAGACTTGAAAAGTTTGATTGATATTTCGTCGCTAAGCACGCGTCATTTAGGAGGATGATCCACGACTTGTCTGCTTGAAGCCAGTATAATTTGTCCGGCTAGGGTGACATGTCTTTCTTCGGACTGTTACATTGTGAACTCAACGTGTCGGATTTATAGACTAAGCAGGCTTCAGATTCATAATTATTCTATCAACATGTTCCAGTTCTGAAATGCATGTAACATTTTCCACTGGAGGTTAAACACCAATTCATTCATCCATCTATACCTATTGATTGTACCAATGCCATATAGTCTTTATTTGAGGAATAAATCAATGTATAAAGTTTAAGTTTGAACCTATTAGTATACATTGAATCACTCGTCTGAAATAGGAAATAGCTGTACAAAGCTTAAACATTTGATCCTGATATAGTTGTATGTCATCTAGCCAGATTATAAGTAACAGCTTCAATAATCTTGAGAAAACAACCCACAAATAACACTGTCATTTTCAGCAATCTGTCTGTTTACAGTATTTCACTATCTTATTTCATTTCAATACAAATCTTACTTAATTGCTCTTTGTATCAACAAACAACTGTACAATAAACAAAATTATTTCAATCTATTTGTTGCAGCTCATTAAAACAGTTACGTAGACTGTTTGTCAATAAAACGGTTTTGTTTTGTTTGATATAATGGATTCGATTTTGACGAAATGTAACAAATTAGTAGTAGAAGGGGTAGGAGACCACGAAAAGGGTGTGCTGAAAATTAACTTAGGTACATCTGAAAATAAATACTATTGCAGTTTGCCATGAAAATGTCATTTCATAGATAGAAAAAAAAAACTACTTTAAAACTGAGAAAAAAATGACGCATAAAAGGGATACACTGCCTATCATTTCGCCTTTTTTCTGAAGGACCATGAAAGTATTATACATAAAATACTTCCATGGTAGGACATGTACATATATCATTATGATAACAATAAAACAACTGTTGAACTCCTGTAAGTTGGGGAATATTTAAAAATCATTGCGATAATAGAACAAAGTAAGTGCATGATATATATATGAATAATTTGATTTTAGTAACAATCAATATTAATGAAAATGGTCTTTAAATATTATAAATTGACTAACAATACGAGTCAATACAAAGATCACCTACAATGGCGATATAAAAAATTAAAACATTGGTCAATGTAGACAAATTATTGGAATATGATAACTCATGATCCCTCATTGTTACCTCCTTAAATATCCGCACTGAAATGACGACCGATTGCTTATACATTTAATTTCCTCAGCAGAACAATTAATATCAAATGCATTTTGCTGATTCTGAGTGGCGTCTCCACCTTTGGAGCATAATAGTTAGCATGTCAAAATTAATCCCAGCTGCTTTATTTGCTGAATAGTAGAGAATTAATTGATCCAAGTAGCTTAATCACACGTAATCTACCTTAGAATATTCTTGTTCCACCTGAATATCTTCTTGAATTCCATTGCTGTTTGAATACGAATGTGCATTTTTGGTGGATTTCGTTGATTTCCTACATTTTGGTCGCCTATATAGTAGATATGGAATAGTTAAACACAAAGAAGAATTGTAAAAGAAAAACGTGGAGACAAAATTAGCATGTCTAGGTATGAAATGTCCAGATCCGTTCATGAAATTGATAACATAGTACGGAAAACAGCATATGAAGCTTAACAGACTTCCAAAATATATTATTTTAAAGTTAACAATGTTATCTGGTAAGGAACCGGAATAATGGTTCATTAGCACAACTAATCCACAGGCTGCGGTAACAGCAAATGGTAAAATAAGAGTTGTTCCGAATATGTAATATGTAGCTGACCTTTTATAATCATTGACCGAAGAAAAATCTAGAGTACAAACCCCAAGACCTAAAACAAATCAAAAGTATGTTTGTATTATTATATCTATGTAAATTCTATTCGAACTTATTCTTAACAATTTTAATACACTACAATGTTTGAGTGTGTACAATATACAAAACATAATGTATAGCAAAAAAGAAGAAATTATTGTTACTAATACATTCGTGAATAAATCATTATAGATAACAGGCTGATACCCGGTTGAAATAAAAAAAAGGAACTCTTCATTATAGAAGGTAAAAATGGCCAAGTTCGTATATTTGAATTGTTTACATCGATATGGCCTTTAAAATTTTAATGTAGATGCATAATTTAGGATTTTTGCATCTTTTATTTTTTTTTAAATGAAGGATACAACAGATACAGTTAAGTCTGCCTCATATCTAGACTTACATCTTTAAATTGACAATAAGGATCGGTTGAGAACAAAACTTTACGATTAAAAAGATGATTTCAATTTCTCAATTGTGAAGTTTCCATTTCCATGTAGCAACATTCTAACAGCACCTGCGTATATATCTCCCAGTTGATACGATATTCAAGAGTTTGCATTCACTATTATGATTTCTTTTACAGAGTGTTGCTGCTTACAAGAAAGCTTATGAACCTAGTGGTGAAGTTGAAACTATCCTTTAAAAATTTTTAGGGACGCCATTACGAGTTGGTTGACCGTTATGGAATATCTGTTTCACAGATGACTACAGATATGTTCAAATTGTCGTAACCACAATCCCGTCCTCTTTTCCTCGAATGAGACCTATCGATTTATACACCGGATTTGAATGAGCAACACGATGGGCGCCACATGTGGAACAGGATCTGCTTACCCTTCCGGAGTACCTGAGATCACCCCGGTTTTTGGTGGGATTCGTGTTGCTCAGTCTTTAGTTTTCTATGTTGTATTTTGTGTACTGTTTGTTTTTTCGTCGTTTTTAGTTTTTACCATGGGATTGTCAGTTTGTTTTCGACTTATGAGTTGAATCTTCCTTTGTTAACGTTCGCCTTACTTTCATAGCGAGTGTATCATAGATATATTTTTGGATTTGAAATAGAACTTTAAACGGCTAAATCAATATGACTTATTTTTGTGTTCGATGCAATTTCCCTTATTCATTATTGTTGAACGTTTAGTACCTTACATGAACAACAGTGAAGCAAAACAACTGTACTTTTGTATAATTGACGAAGAGGTTTTGCTGAGGTAATTATTGAAAAAGAATAGTATTACCATAATATTGGGAATTGTTTGGTTATTTCACGTCACATTGCTTTAAAAATCAGTTCACAAATTTGTTTTGTAAATATGTTGGGACGTAAAATAAACTCGCCAGGACCTGTTTACCCTTCAGTTTCATGTCATTGTACGGGATTCAACAAAATACGTAATCCGTACCGTAAATTAGCTATAAAAGGTCCCGTTCCAAGTTTTTCGTTGGTTCGATTTTTCTTAACAGTTGGTATCTGTGTAATGTAAAGTGGCTTATTGTAACACTGTCTGTCCTTCCTCGGTGTATGGATTTTTAATTTCTACTTTTTATATCTTCCTCCCCATCTTTAATTGCTTGTATTTTTATCTTCGTGTTCTCTATATATTTAAAAATTAATAATTCTGTATTGTCATTTAAGCATACGCTTATGTACACAAATAGGAATTTGCTTTTATAGCAATCTCATTAAAAATATGTATTTGACTGATCATAACTAACTAATAGAAAAGGGCAGAAATCCCAATTTACCTCGAGGTCAAATGTGGAAGGGTGTCGAATACATCTTTTTAATGAGATTGCTATAACAGTTAATCCTATATTTTCAAATATTTCTGATACTAAAAAACTAGTGGTCCTTCTAAATCACTCAAACTAAACCAAGTGGCAAAACAAAAATAAAAAGTCTTTGGAGCTGAGGACAGGGGACTCTTAGTTATGCTGCTTGTGTACATATATGTATTATAATTCGTTTATTTTCGTTGCTATTTATGAGTTGTATTTGTCACATATTATATGTGAGATTTATATATAAACAGTATTCTACATACTTTGAAATGGAAGGAGAACATTTTTATAATTATGCATATTGCTTCTATCCACAATAACCTCAGGTGTATATCTCTCTGTGACGTTATTGTTCAGGTGAGTTATTAGATCATATAGAATATTTCCCGTTTGTTGAGATTCCACGTCTTCTAGTAATACTGTCAATGATGTAACATCTCGAATCCTCACTGTGAAATGAATATCACATTTAGTATTCATTGAACGGATATACATATTCCATTTTTCTTGCAAGCTTGACGTAATCAATTGTCCAATGTATTGAATATTTTCAGCATCTGCTTTAGTTAAAGTGGTATTACATAAATCGGTTGACTCTGTTGTGTGACGTGAAAGTAGTCTCACTTTTATCATCAGTAAGCCTAAAATTCAAAACTTGCAGTAAATTATCATGTTTAGACAAAACATATGTTTGTGTTCCAAGTGGAATCCATATTGCTGGCTTTCTTTATTCAATAGTATATCATATGCAGTTCTTTTCTGAATAAATTGTATATATGTTGTTTGATCATCGTTGAAATAATTTGTAGAATTGTATATTATGCCTTGGGGCAATATCAAATTGTAATTTATATCCTCTTAAGAGGACACGTTAGTTAATGAAATTACTGTATTGTATTGTAAATTGTATACAGCGATATGTATAAGATAGAAAATATTGTAGTTATTCTGCTTGTATTCGGGAATTGTACCAAAAGCCATAGAAATGAACGTCTTTGAAAGTCTTTGAAAGTTTTTGTTAATATTTTTTAAAGTAAATGGGTTTAAATCTCGGTAAGTAATTTGCAAAGTAATGCTAGTGACTGATTATAGTAATTGAGATGATTAATTTGATGATAAATAAATACTTGCTTAACGTCCAGCAACCATTAATTGATTGAGATGCTAAATTTTTAAAGAGTTCGAAGATTTTTCAGTTTAGTGTCTTTGTGTTGATCAAGGAACACTGGCATTTAATCCACCAGTAAGGCAATTTGGTTAACGGAAAAATACATTCTTGTGGTGCGAGAGATAAGACCATGTTCAAAAGAAAGAAAAACAAATAACACGAAAAAAGCTCTTCGGACGAATGGAATTTACAAAGGGATATTTCATTTAATAGACCAAAATATATCATCACTAAAATAGTTTTTGCTAGTGACATTTTTATCCTAGGTCAAATATACGGATACAATGGTACCTTTAAATTGAGAATACTCTCCCCATCCGTACATTGGACCAGTACACAGAAAGAAAGCTGTCATATACATTCCAAATATCAGGATGCGTGTATTGATTTCAGAAAATGTCATCGAGTAACTTCCAGATGATAAACATTTGTATAACCTGAAATGAAATAGTGTATGGAAAGTGTACAACAGCTTAGGAAGAATCCATACTGATGTTATTTCATAAATGACAAGTAACAAGTCTGTATGCTGTATAAATACTTATCCTCTTTGATTTGAGTAAATTCATAGTTAATTTTGAACTAATCATCAGTTAATTCGAGTAAATTTAGAGTTTATTTTGGGTTAATCATTGGTTGATTTGAGTAAATTTAGAGTTTATGCTGGGTTAAGCATCGGTTGATTTGATTAATATCAGAGTTTATTTTGAGTTAATCATTGATTCGCTCATGGAAAAAAAATAAACAAAACTGCCTCACATAGAATATTTTGGGCCAGTTTCATGTTTCTGTACAAATAAAAAATATAATAAGAAAAACAGTTTATCCCTGGTTAAGTATGGTTCTGTACTTCAGTTTTTGTGCAGAGTTTTGTGAATCGTTGATAGTTTTTCTGTATTCAATTTTGAAATTGCATGTCTATCTCTTAAGCCTCTTAGTAATCATCTTTTTTCTATAATCTATTGTTTACCCCCGGAATAGATTACCCAAGCTGTATTCGGCAAAACCTTTCGGAATTTTTGGTCCTCAATGCTCTTCAACTTCTTACTCTATTTGGCCTTTTTTACTCTTTTGATTCGAGCGTCACTGATGAGTCTTTTGTAGACATACACGCATGTGGTATACACGTTTTTATCCTGGGATCTATGATGAGTTTATTTACTATTGAAGATGCAAAAATGAAAAATTCAAATATGTTACCCAGCCACATTCTGTATGTGCCTGTCCTAAGTCAGGAGCCTGTAATTCAGTGGTTATCGTTTGTTGCTGTGTATCATATTTGTTTTTCGTTCATTATTTTGTTCATAAATTGGGCCGTTAGTTTTCTCGTTTGGATTTTTTACATTTGTCATTTCCAGGCCTTTTGTAGCTGAGTATGCGGTATGGGTTTTGCTGATTGTTAAAGGCCGTACGGTGACCTATAGTTGTTAATTTCTGTGTCATTTGGTCTCTTGTGGAGAGTTGTCTCATTAGCAATCATACCACATCTTCTTATTTTTATACTTAGAATACTTATTCTTAGCGATCCATGGTTAGTACATAAAAGTTATATGTTGTCAATTAAATATCCCCTACTGGACAACTATTGTTAAATATACTGGATTTACTCTCTAGTTCATCTTCTAAAATCATATATATATAGGATTTTACTATAATATATTTGATTAGATTATGTCCTATTAGACAAATAGTAATCCCCCATATAGCTGTTTAATCGAAATACGCTGTATGAGAACTCGATTCAGAGAAAAAAGTGTCCCGCCATTTTCACAATGTTACGTTTGCTTGTAGTCTATAGTATTTTGCTCATAAATATGCACTTTCATTGCAAATCACAAGAAAATAACAACTTGTAAACAAAAAACAACATAAATAGAAATCTATTTCACCAACACTTCATATTAATGTAACAAAATTGTTCAGTAAGTGGTAGATAATAATAAGCACAAGATGATTAGTAATCTTAAAAGGTTTTAGAATGACCACTTCCTCTTCAAATTTTCGATTACATTATCTTTCAGATAGCTGGGAAACTGAAACACTAGGATATATACCGAACATAAATTTGAATTACATAAGGAATCCTCTACATTAACTCTAAACACAATTTGATATTATCCCGATTATCGACTAAAAGCTATCTGCTGGACGCTTAATATCTGTCAATTAAGAAATACTGAGTTTACAATATTTCCTGTGAAGGTAAAAAAGTAGAACCAAATATCAACTGATTATTTGTTTTATATATCTAAAAATGGATGAAATATAGTATAATCTGAATTTTAAAGAGCATTCTCTTAAAAATATTCCCCTTTAAAAAATAAATTGATATGAAATTAAAATATTATTAAAAAGCTTTATACCATATTTTCAATGCCAAAAATAAACTACTAGCCAAAACCATTTAATTTTAGGGGGTGGAATCTACGGAGCGTTTTAAAGACAAAATGTAAGAACTTATAGGACGAGTTAAACAAGACAGGATCCTACAATGTTGTAATTTTAAGAAAAAAGTTCACGTGCTTTGTGAAACAGATTATAAAATAAAAAGAAACATCCCTTCAGGGCCCAATATTTCTTCCAAGTTCCGTCATACATATGCATTGTTGCATCCTCAATCGGTTGTTATGATAAATTATCAAAATATTCCATTTCATATAAGAGCTATCGTTAAGCATTTGGTTACATGTTAAAAAATGCGACATGTTAAAGCAAGATAGTGAATCGGACATATATTAAAGTCTTATGTTTCGATCGTCCTGAACATGCATGAAATATTTGCCACTGGACGTTAAGCAACCAACAATCAATCAATCTTTTGTTTCGACAATTATGATTACAGAATAATCGAATGTATATATTAAAGTTTCAAATGAACATTTATTCTCTGACAGTATATTAAAGAAGTTATATGGAAATTATCCAGCAATGAAACGAAACATTACAAATCAAGCGAAGAGAAATGATGAATCTAATATCGACAATAGTGCAAGACAGTGGGTTGTCAGAAACTACCGTGTAAGATGTCATTCATCTCTAACTAGATGGGTTCTTATTCTGGAAGGTATCTGAAATATTGATTATATAGTTTGAATATCTTTATTTTCATGATCATTATTAGATGCAGAACGAGTTCACAAATATTATTAAAGGATGGCGTATAAGCTGATCTATAAGTAGGGCAACTCCAATTATGTGAGTATACTTTCAAGTCAAATATTCCTTGAGGGAAAGAAATTTGATATTCTCAGGGGTTGGGTGGGCGGGAGATATGAGAGAATTTAGAAAAACATGACCCGACATTGCAACTTCCAAAAATAGATAATAGCATATGACAGCTTCTAAATAATTAGCTCGACCCACAAAATATTGGAAAATGAAAATGAATATTAATGCAGGGTTGCCTCGAAAAATATATAATCGTTCCTCGCAATGACTAAAAATAAATATTCTTGAAGAAACAAAATCATCATTACATATCATACTACATCTCGGGGTCAACTTACAGTCTTCAACCCGACATTGCAACCTCCGCAAATAGATAATATCCAATGTCGGCTTAAAAATGATAAACATGACCCACAAAATATTGGAAAATGAAAATGAATATTAATGCAGCGTTGCCTCAAAAATGAATAATCGTTCCTCGCAATGATTGAAAATGAATATTCTTGCAGAAAACAAAATCATCCTTCCATATCAAACTACATCTCGGGGTCAACTTACAGTCTTCAACAACATACGTTTCTATAAAAATCCTTCAATCTCTTAATTACTAGAAAGTTTAGAAAAATCATTGACCAATCTTAAAGAAAGTTATAAAAGGTAACCGGCTTATAATTTGGTACGGCAGACACTCGTTTCGTCTACATTATGTTAATTAGTGGCGCTCAAATAAAAAAATGTTGGAAGGTCAAATCAAACATGAATTTGAAAATCATTGCAAGCAAAAAAAACAAACGAAAAGTAGCACCAAATACGACTTAGGTCATCTTTATCTGAGGGTAATGAAAACTTAAGTGTTTCGAATACTTCCAAATTTTATAAACAGAAAAATTTACAGAAAATTACCATATCAAGAATATTTCATGTCAATAGAAAGTGCTGACTACTCGGCCGGAGATACCCACTAGGACGAAACGTCCACCGGAAGTTGCATCGATCCAGTGGATGTAAAAACTCATGGAAGATGCCAGAATTATAGTTTGATTATCGAGACGACGCGTGTTTTGTCTGCATATAGACCAATCAGTGGCCCTCAAATCAAACTGTTTAACGGCAAGATTAATTACGAAGTTGAACAGAGATTGTACAGACTGGTTAACAGAGACAAAAACAGAGGCTGTAAAAGATTTGCCCTAAACGCCAAGTTCCAAAAGAGGACAATAACATAACTGGAGATGTGCCTGACTTGGGAGAGACTCATGAACAATGTTGCGGAACTAAATTAGATTTTTTTAGCACACAAACCTCTAATTTTCGTTATCGATCAGTAGAAAAGAAATGGTAGGAAAAAGAAGTTGTAATAAAATTCAGGTCAGAAAAAAATTACTTAACTCTATGATATTGTTTAATAAACAACAAACCCATATGAACAATGAAAGTTATACCGTATTAAAAAGTGCACGTAGTTACTGGCAGGAAGTTTAAATTACTTCACCTGCTGATATTGAAACACTGCCGTCCTACACTGATATCGACGCTGTACGTGCCAATATATTTCATACAGCAACGTTATGAACAGTGACGATCTTCTGAAATAACCAAATCAACTTCAAGTTTGTCACGAATTTCGATACGGTAAAAATCAAAGAATTAGGAAGGTAAAATATTATGAAGGAAAAATAAGTTAAGAAATTGACACTCATTTAATATGCAGATATGTAGGAAGCAAAAATAAGCTAATGTATTCTTTATTGATATATGATAATATTCACCATGTCATTAACGGATTATTTATGCGTATAGGAAACTGCCAACTTACGATACATTTATAAATGCAAATTACTATATTGTTTATCAGTAGCTAAACCTTTAACATTTTAATACCTACAAAAATGTCAAACTAAGTAAATGACTCTACCACCACAAGTAGAAAATTATTGATTTTCTGCCAAAAGTACCATAATATGAAGCATTTAAAGTCTTCTTTGAAAACAACAAAAATAAAACATTACAATTCCATCATTACTCAACTCATCTGCGTCCCTGGTAATCCCTTTCAGGATTCAGGAGAGATTTTCTTATTTGGTCGCCCACAGACAATCATTATCAAGTCATCGAAAATTGTTTTTACAAACTACCTTAACTCAAACGGGTAGATTTTATGACAACAACATCATTCTGTAGACCTAAAATGGGAAAGAACTGCAAAGTAAGCATACTGCCCCTTCATAATCCGTTTAAATATTTGGAAATTAATATAGAAAAATGTATAGGTAACAGAGTTATGGTTTATTGTTTAAGAAAGGTTACGCAGAACAAAATTACCCACTTTGAAATAGTTTATTCAAACTCACAGGGTGAAAAATGGACTTATATTCAAAATCAAGTTCGCCTTGAGTTAATAACCAATTTGTAGTGAGATATGTTTGCTATAATTCAAAGCCAACTTCATAATGGTACGATTATTTTTCTTTGGCTGATAGTTGGTTGCCTAATTATAAATCATACTACATCATTACTTGTTCAAAACTATTAAAAAAAAAACATCGAATGTTCAAAAAAGGCAAAGGAAAAAAACAAAAATCATGAAAAAATATAAGACAAATACAATTTAAACGGTTCTTCTCAATGTTAAAATCTATTGTATATTCAGTGTGACGAATTTTTATAAAAACATTGAAAGTAAAATCCTTTTCTTTTTCATCACTGACATGGAATGATGAACCAAAACGGGGACTTTTTGCGTCAGTATTGATATTATCAGGCTTCTGAAAAATTAACGATTACCTTTCAATCGCTGCCAGAGATGTCAACCAGGCAATACTGGATAACAAGACGTAACAAACAATCGCATGGATTTGGCAAGACACATCCCCAAACATCCAGGTTTCTGAAATAGAAATACATTCATATCTTACCGAAATCACTATATAACGTTCCAGTAATAATATCATAATAAGTGCGTCTTGTCCAAACTTAAACTAAAATATAATAACCTGTTTACGTTTATCAAATGATACCTAACATTATGGTTAAACGGGAATATCATTGTATGATCACCAGTGATCAAAAACTTTCTACATTGTAGCAAACTTTAGCGCGCGGTTTTATTACAGTGCTATATAAAAGTCGCAATTGGGATGAACTACTATTTCTATAAATACTCTTAGAGACAGTAATATTACATTGTATATACCAGAATATAATGATTCACCTTACTCATAAAACCGGCCATCACATGACAATCCTTACTGAGGGGCTTGTTTGCAATTGTAGTAACATTTAACAAAAATTCCCATACTTCATGTAAAATACATGAAAAAAAAATGTTTGGTCGTACAGTGTGTTCAACTACTCATGAAAAGAATAAAAGTCCTATTAAATGAGAAAGACACTTGACAAAACGTATTAAAGTGTCATTGTACTGCAGTAGGCTTACAACTGCCGAAGTCCAATAACCCCTGCAAAACGTGTCAAATCAAAATTACGGAATAGTAATTTCAAATGAAGCCTTTCCCAGTACACTCTTTGTCATGGATTAAAAATATGTTGAGATACCCTTTATAAGGTTATACATAATTAAAAATGTGAATAGGATATATAAAACCAAAATTTAAGCATAAAAATTAATCAAAGAAATATTAAGAAAGATTTTTTATTGTATTTAAAGCAAAATGGGAAATCTACTTTAATGCAGCTAATGCATATGCCTCATTTCGTACAATTTCTGTTATTTTTCCTTTTTTTTTTGAAAAATACATGCTTTTATATAACAATGTTGCCATCAAATATATAGTAATATACAGTAAATAAAGAGAAGTCTTTCTTAGTTTGATTGAGTTGTGTTCTTGTTTGCAATAATCAAAACAAAGTACCAATGTAAGGATACCACCCCAACATACAAGACATGTATGGCATGAAACATATAGAAGACCTAAATGTTTTGACTTTACAAGAGGTAAGTTTTTATCTTTGATTCTAAAAATAAATATATTTGTAGAAAATAATAAAAATGAATGTTAAAAACCCACGTCATAAAACATCGGCGTGTCCTACTGTAAATTTAATATCCCATTTTGTTGGACTTTATATGATTGTTTTTCAACGATCTAAGCAAACATAACATTGTTTGACACTATGATCGTGAGAACACATACATACTGAAGCTAGAACACACGTGTTCAAATCTTGATATTTGTCAAATATCTTTCGATTTCACGTTGATACCACCAGTCCAATTGATCACTAAGTTCACCCAATTTTGGTGGGGTTCCTTATGCTCAGTATTTAGTTTTCTGTGTTGCATTTAGTAATTCGTCATTGAACTTTCATGCCATTTTATCCATGGTGTTGTCTGTTTTTTTCGACTGGTGGTTTTTCTTGTGCCTTCCCTGGTATCTTCTACTTCTCTTTTTAATGTTTTTGTTCCTTTTCTAAACCGATGAATCAATTAAAATCTATGAAAACCAGGAGTCAGTTTCACAAAAAACTTACGACTAAAATTGATCAAAAGTATACTGAATTGTTCATGACTTACGATCAATCTTAGTCGTAAGTTGTTTTGTGAAACGGACTCAAGGAATTAGATAAGTTCTATGCATTTTGGTGAATCATTATTAATCATTTAATACAGGGAGAAGAGGGGTTGGTTAAACCTATAATATAAATATTTCTGTACAAGACGGTTTTTTTTTTAAATTTGTTAAGTCCAAACGGTATTGGCTTTCGATTGCTTAGACTTGTTCTGTGCATTTGGTATTGTCTATTTAAAGCTCTCCCATGCCTTGCAATTTTTTTTGACATTTAGGCAGATCGACTCCGGATTGTCTGAACTTTATATAAACTAATTTGTATATTCTTTGTCTTACTTTATGTCTTTTCATAGATTCGGAATTTTGGGTCTTCAATACTCTTCAAACTTCGTACTTTTATTGGCCTTTTTAACTTTTTAGATTCGAGCGTCACTGATGAGTCTTTTGTAGATGGAACGCGAGTCAATGAATTCCGAATTCCTTCGAGAAAATTAAAGAAGACCTACTTTAACGTTAAATGGTGAAACCATAAAAGCGGTTTAATTCAGACACAAATAAACGAGACAAGTAAAGCGAAATTAATTAGAACTATGAACAGAAAACAGAGAAATATTCTATTTGTTATACTTAGTGTAATTTGTCTGTGATTGTGATTCCGTTTGTACCAAAGATGATTTTTTTCGTCATTTTCTTACATACAAATTTAAGGAGACAGTCAGTTTGACTACGAATAAAATTAAATATGAGGTATACGGTTGTTAATAATAATAAAAATCCACTCATCATTTAGTTTTGGTACGCCAAACACAGATATAAATTATATATTTTCAATTTGTATTTGAACATCTTTGAAAGTTGAATGCACGTTAGTTTTACAATGAATGAACATAAGTAGCAGACCCAGGCACAAACTTTGCCCTTTATTGAGTTCGATGGTGTGTATATCTGCTTCCATTTCATTTCAAAACCAATTGAACGTTAGGAAATCTATAATACAGACCATCGGTACTATAAGATGTAATTGAATATACCTTTTAGTTGCGGCTATAGTTAATCATAATTCTTTTGGCCAATCCCATAATTTTTTATCTTTTATTTGATAAATGCACATATACACAACTCAGTGCAAAGGTTGTAAAAGAAAATTAAACAAAAGCGAAACAGTTCTTTTCTGTCTATATGCATATGGTTATTTAATAGAATTGTCACGCGCACTTAGATATATGAGACGAATATTTTTAAGTGAACTAATGATATCATTAGGTATGGTAACATTTATTAACAATGCCTTGCTTTTCATTGCCCTGTAAATGTCACTAAGTTTGTAGTCATTAACCAAAAAAAGAGCATTATTGACCGAAAGATACAATTAAGAAAACACCAGACTGTAAGGACGTCTGCTTTATATTTAGATCTTAACACAGCTAAAATCTAGAATATAAACGTTAACTGTTACAGTCTATTGATAACCAACCAGGAAATATAATACATATAGGAACGACGATTCAGCACAAACAGACAAAATACAAAACTCTTAGGAAATGTGTAACTATACTGATAAAAGATAAAATATACGAATAAGATGAAATGAAATCGTATTTTTTTGGCCTTTTCAAATTTTCTGATTCGAGCTTTACTGATGAGTACTCACTCAGTCATGCAGGTAATCTAGCACTTTATCAAATAAAAAGAAATCAATACTGATTAGGTGTAGTTGCGTATGTTGACATCCCACACATGGTTGCCTGTATTATTTAACATCCCTGTCCTTTAGTGCTTGATTGATGTGATAGTCGTCGCTTTAACTATCATATAATATCTCATTACGTTTAAATAATTTAATTTTGAATGTAACACGTTTTCTGATCGGCTGAAAGTTTTTGTTTATAAGCTCATAGACATAATTTTGTCATGTGACCGTGACGTCATCAATGTTTTTTTTCATGATTTACTCCTTAAAAATGGAATTTAGAATTAAATTATAAGGGATGACTGTAATATTTTTTCTGTCTATTCGAAATATAAAAAAAAAAGTGGTGCACACTTTTAGATAACCGCTACGCGTGTTAATCAGTGTGCACCACATTTTTTTTATGTTATTTCTCCATAGACAGAAAAAAATATTACAGTCATTCCTTAAAAATGATCAATAACAAAGATGATGGTATGAAAAATTAATAAAGATTCAGCACACATTCAAAACATAATCATAAACATAAAAAAAATGTTAAGCTGCATGTTACATTTTCGTGACAATGACTAGCACTATGCTTCATGATGCTCTTTAAGAAGTTGGTCGAATCTCCAAAAGGCAGTTTTTTTTTTTGGGGGGGGGGAGACTTTGTTAACACAAATAAATTTAAAAATCGTCTATATATACAGCATGGGTAAAATGGCACAAACTATTCTCGATGAAAGTTGTCCATATTAAAACGATTACAGAATCAATACTAGTATATACAAATTTCGCTAGGATTATCTTTGTGCCAGTAATACATTTAAGCTTATAGTTTTATGTGAAAATACTAGAACACATTTACTTATTTGTTCGAATCTTTTCTCCGAAACAGGTCAGGATGGTCATGCTAATTGGTTCAAAATTAATTTAGCTGATTGATGATTGCACAAAAATAAGCATGATGGGACGTTGTAACTGAATCAAACAAAATCCCTAATTTAACCCTAAATGACGTTACATTCTAATCTAATCATCAAGCCACTTTAGATATTTACACTTCCTTAAGTCCTCAATTCAAACTATTAAGAAATTAACCTATTTCTGCGCACTAAGACGACCGATGTTAAGAAGTCCTTGTTATTTCTCCGTTGGAACATTTGATTAGGTACAAGGTCGGATGCATTGTTAAAGAAAATGCCAAAAAAAAAAAATAAAAAATAAGAAAAACCAAAGTTGCACTCCTTTACAAAACTTAAAATAAATGTTTATGGACTAGAAACTGTAAATATCAAGGGTATAGGTCTAATGTTACGGTACTCAAATGACATTATGAAACAGCAGTTTTCAAATTATGTATGATTATAATTGATGTTCTGCTTTATCATGTCCTTGTTTTAAAACTACTGCGGGACAAACAACGTATATCAAATGAAAATGTCTATCATGTTTAATCTTCATGAAGGAATTTTCGAACAATTTCTGTTTGATTGAAATGGTGTTCTTTTCTCTGTCCGACTTGATTACTCGTGTCTAGCTTAGCATGTTCTTGATATGCCTAAATCTCTATTTAAAACCATTTTTTTTATCTTCTTCGACGTTTGCGTCATAGAGCTCTTTAACTTCAACTTGAAACATGGAAATAGATTGAAATGAGATTATACTGTAACACTTCATTTATAA